TATTTTCCATTTTCTTGGGAACAACAATTCTATTCCTAATAAACATTATTGTTATTAAAACAAAATAAAACAAGATATGGGGAGGGGTGAGAAAGAGTATAGCAGCGAAAGGGTTTAATATTGAGCAAAAATATAAATTATTAAAACAATGCGAAAAAGTTAGGTTAGGTTAGGTTAGGTAGGTTAGGTAGTCGAAAAGCAATTAATTCATGAAAACTTGGCTTATTAAGCAAATCGGGCCTTGCATAGTAGGCTCAGAAGTGAGTTCTGGCTACTAGGTACGACATATATATATATATATATATATATATATATATATATATATATATATATATATATATATATATATATATATATATATATATATATATATATATATATATATATATATATATATATATATATATATATATATATATATATATATATATATTAATATAAAAGAGACATTGGTCTCTTTTAAAGCGTTCTGTTTTGTGTCTGGACACAAAGCAGAACGCTTTGAAAGAGACCAATGTCGTCTATGCCTTCAAATGCACACTTGGGGACTGTAAGCCTCAAAGAACTCAGTATATAGGCAAGACAACAAAATCTCTTTCCAGGCGATTAACGATGCATAAGCAACAGGGCTCAATTAAGGAACATATAATCTCTTCCCACAACCAGACCATCATCAGAGAAGTCTTAACAAAAAACATGGAAATCATCGATAGATACAGCGATAGCAGGTGGCTTGATATCTGCGAGGCACTACACATTAAGAAGTCAAACACCAGCAATCAACAGCCAATTAATGCACAATTATATTCTACCCACTTCAAGACTCCGCACCAATATAGAAGCATCAAGAAATATGGGCCAATAGGCCCTTTGCAGTTACTTCCATTCTTCCCTTTAACTTACAAAATATTATACCCATTGTTTCGTGTTCTGTCTTGTGTTGAAAGTTTGTTTTCACCTCATCCAAAACTGTTGTTACATATCACCTCACCCAAATGCAGGTATAAAATCGAAGCTGTTTAAACTCTGTTTAGTTATAGTTGTGTGTGTGTAAAGTAAAGTCTTTGAAAATGTAATAAGTTATTACGAAACGCGTTCAAGTGTCCCGTCAGACTAGAAATAAAAATGAATTTTGGAGAAATGATTTTTCAGTTACCATCAACAGTGAAAAGAAATGTAAGAAATATTGAGAAAATTCGTGTTAGAATTATTAATCTTACTTTTTCGGTCATATTTAATAATATATGTCTACAGGAAAGACTGCTACCAAAATATACTATTATATATATATACATGACAAAGACAACACCCGAGATTAATCATGCAGTGAATACATCCTCCCCAGCTGAGCTTTCATCTCCCCCTCACAATCTATTATATTGCAAAATTCGCCATCACCCAGCAAGTAATTATTTAATGTGTAAAAAAATTCCAATATTTTTTGTATATTGCGAACCATCTATAATATTGCGTGTGTCATGAGACCCCTATAATATACAGGAAAGGAAAGTAATTATACAGGAAATAATTCCAGGTGCGTACACACACCACATATGTAAATATCGTGAGAGCGCTGTACAGCTTCACTCTTCACCACTGTGCCTTACTGTGACATAGACATCTGTGAGCCTTGCTCTTGACATATAAGATACTCTGGCTAAATATATCTGACTAAACGGGAATTGGAAGGGAAACTAGAATCACCTACTTCCACCTCACTGATGTGGACTTGCCCTCCGGTGAGCGTTGAATTGCAGCTCCTGGTCCCGGCTCTCGACTCGTTGTAGGGAATGCCCCCACACACACTGTGGTGCTCTCTCCAGGAACCCAATCAACATCCCAAAATAAACGCGTCGTCTCTGTGCTGTGTCCTCTGCAGGTCCGTGCTCCTTCACAACGTCTTACAGGGTTGTAGTCGGTCTCCTGGCCGTCGACTTCTCCTCGCAACTACGTCTGCAGTCCTACTTCTCGGCTGAAGTCGTCCTGATTCCCAATTAGTTCTCTTCTTTCACTGATTCCCGGTGGATTGGCCCAGCCGCTACGTCGTCACTAGATGGGTGAACCGCCTCAGATATCACATACGTCACTTCACAGACTCCACTTCCTCTTGCAAACCACCTGTCCCTGGAGCACTTGTTGCTCAATATTCCGTTGATTCCCTCTGCGGTCCAACACATGGAATGAAGGAAGACCTTACAGAGTACTTGCAGACTATGGGTGATGCGTAAAATCCACGGGAGCGGGGTACAATTGTCAAACGCACCCCATATTATAGCAGGACCAATTTTCGCACATCCGACCTTGTCAACGTTTCGTGTCAAACTGATGGCGCCACAGAGGCGCGAACTCCGGACCCCCGTGCTCTCTTGACGTCATACTTGCCAGGGGCGGTTTTCATTGGCTCCCTGTGCCACGTCACTGTTCGTGACCAATCTCTTGCCACTGACGTCATACAGTTTTGGCGGGAGAACGGAGGGATCGGCGCCATATTGGCGGTCTAAAGGGCCTAAACCACAGGCCAAAATTCTCTTTATTTACGAATTTCTCGCCAACGCGAGAACACTACACGCTCCCACACAGGTCAAATTGTTGCCCGCAACGTAGAGAACACTTGGGTAAAGTGGATATGACTCTTACAGCAGGCGTGGGAGAAATATAAGGGGGGAACACCGTCACATACCCCTCCCCTTAAAATAAGTCATACCTGATTAGTGTATATGGGACAGGGCATCCGCTACTATGTTGTCCTTCCCTCTGATGTGCTTGATGTCCAGCCAGTACTCCTGCAGTAGTAATGCCCACCTCGTCAGTCGCTGGTAGGAGTTACTCATCTTGTACAAAAAGGTCAGAGGGTTATGATCTGTAAACACAAGAACAGGTCTCGCCCCTCCTCCCACGTACACGTCGAAGTGCTTCAGGGCCATTACTAAAGCCAAAGCCTCCTTCTCGACGGTACTATAGGCACGCTGGTAGTTCACAAATTTCTTGGAGTAGAAAGCTGGTTGATACCTGGTTGATGGGGTTCTGGGAGTTCTTCTACTCCAAAAGCCCGGCCCGAGGCCAGGCTTGACTTGTGAGAGTTTGATCCACCAGGCTGTTGCTTGGAGCGGCCCGCATAAGCTACTGGCCTATGTACCTCACCCCTCTCTTGGGCCAACATGGCCCCTATCCCAACGTCACTGCCATCCATGTACAGGATGAATCTGGCTGAAAAATCTGGGGATATTAATACTGGGGCCAGCGTCAACAGTTTCTTTGTCTTCTCAAAAGATTCCTGGCAGGCCTCTCCCCACTTCCATCGTACATTCTTAGAGAGTAGTTCAGTCAGGGGATGCGCTACCGTGGAAAAGTTCTTGCAGAAACCACGATAGTATCCTATCATCCCAAGATACCTCAACAACTCCTTACGCGTTCTGGGTACTGAGTACTCCCTAATGGCTGACACTTTGTGATCTACAGGGGTTACTTCTCCTTGGCCGATGACGAAGCCTAGGTACTCTAAGTGGGCCTTCCCAAACTCACTCTTGGCTAGGTTCACGGTTAAGTTAGCATCCTCTAGCCTCCTGAACAATTCTTTGAGTCTCTCCAGGTGTGTCTCCCAATTGTCGGAGTACACCACTATGTCATCGATGTACACCGTGCAGCCTTCGGCCCCCCTCAACAGCTCATTCATCTTGCGTTGGAAACAACTACCGCTGTTTTTCATTCCGAAGGACAACACCTTATACTGGTACAGCCCGTCCGGTGTTACGAAAGCTGATATTTTCCTGGCGTCGGGAGTCAATGAGATCTGGTCGTACACCTTGAGCAGATCGACCTTGGACTACCCACCTGGTCGATGCAATCACTCACCCTTGGCATGGGGTGCGAATCTGCCACAGTGATGGAGTTCACCTTTCTGTAGTCTGTACAAAAGCGGAATGTACCATCACTTTTCTTCACTAACAAGCGTGGGGAACTCCACTCACTGTTACTTGGCTCTGCAAGGTCGTTCTCAAGGAGATACTCCACCTCCTTCCTCATCAACTCTCGCTTCTCTGGGCTTACCCTATAAGCGTTCTGTTTGATGGGCCTGGCGTCCCTCACCTCTACCTCGTGCGTTACACTCTTGTGTCGTCGGGGCACGTCGGTAAAGAAAGAGGCATTTTCTCTTACTCGGCGGTCTTCGTGCTGTGGCGGGGCAGGTGGGGCTAGCCCTAGCTCAGCTCGCTTCAGCTCAACCTCTTTGTTTGCTTCAACCTCTTGCTGTTTCAGCTTAGCTTCTAGCTCGCGCTCCTCCCGTCTCAGCTGTGCCTCTCGCTTTTTCCGTTTCAGCTGTGCTTCAGCGTCTCGCTCTTCTCAGCGCACCTGTGCCTCTCGCTCTTCTCGTCTCAGCTGTGCTTCCTGGTCACGCTCTTCCTTGCGCAGCTGTGCCTCTCGAACGAGATGGAGCGTTGCCCCTAGCAACGAGATGGAGTGTTGCCCCTAGCAACGAGAGGGAGCGTTGCCCCTAGCAACGAGATGGAGTGTTGCCCCTAGCAACGAGATGGAGCGTTGCCCCTAACAACGAGATGGAGTGTTGCCCCTAGCAAAGAGATGGAGTGTTGCCCCTAGCAACGAGATGGAGTGTTGCCCCTAGCAACGAGATGGAGTGTTGCCCCTAGCAACGAGATGGAGCGTTGCCCCTAGCAACGAGATGGAGTGTTGCCCCTAGCAACGAGATGGAGTGTTGCCCCTAGCAACGAGATGGAGCGTTGCCCCTAGCAACGAGATGGAGCGTTGCCCCTAGCAACAAGATGGAGCGTTGCCCCTAGCAACGAGATGGAGCGTTGCCCCTAGCAACAAGATGGAGCGTTGCCCCTAGCAACGAGATGGAGCGTTGCCCCTAGCAACGAGATGGAGTGTTGCCCCTAGCAACGAGATGGAGCGTTGCCCCTAGCAACGAGATGGAGTGTTGCCCCTAGCAACGAGATGGAGCGTTGCCCCAAGCAACGAGATGGAGCGTTGCCCCAAGCAACGAGATGGAGCCTCGCCCTCGGAACCTCACTCTCGGAGCCTCACCCTCGGAGCCTCACCCTTGGAGTCTCACTCTCGGAGCTTCACCCTTGGAGCCTCACCCTTGGAGCCTCACCCTCGGATACTCACCCTCGGAGCCTCACCCTCGGAGCTTCTCCCTCGGAGCCTCACCCTCTGAGCCTCACCCTCGGAGCCTCACCCTCGGAACCTCACCCTCGGAGCCTCACCCTCGGTGCCTCACCCTCGTAACCTCACTCTGGGAGCCTCACCCTCGGAGCCCTACTATCGGAGCCTCACCCTTGGAGCTTCACCCTCGGAGCCTCACCCTCGGAGCCTCACCCTCGGAGACTCACCCTCGGAGCCTCACTCTCGGAGCTTCACCCTTGGGGCCTCACCCTCGGAGCCTCACCCTCGGAGCCTCACTCTCGGATACTCACCCTCGGAGCCTCACCCTCGGAGCTTCTCCCTCGGAGCCTCACTCTCGGATACTCACCCTCGGAGCCTCACCCTCGGAACTTCTCCCTCGGAGCCTCACCCTCTGAGCCTCACCCTCGGAGCCTCACCCTCGGAGCCTCACCCTCGAAGCCTCTCTCTCTCACACGTATTTAATCTCAGGGGATCTAATTCCACCGTGTCTGCGTTGCTTTTTGTGTAGTCAGTGGGATAATAAATACTTCTCCATGATTTTCCTCTACTACGTATGTGAAGATATTTATAAGTGCGAGAATTAATGATCGAGCATGTGCTGCATGATGTCTCTGGCCAACACAAAGATGTGTGATGAATGCACAGATGTGAGTCAGTGGCGTTTGTTGAATTAATTGCAGATTTTGTTAACATCAGTGTCTAACCAGCCTAAAATTTGTAGCCCTCAGTGGTTACAAATATGTTATGGACAAGTCCACCTAGACACTGATTCTGTGCCAAGACAGACACGTCTGTACCCAAACACTTATAGTACATAATACAAAATTTTCTGGCAAGACACACAATAGCAGCTCAGAACTTTCCTTGAAAATTTTCTATATTAAATCTTGACATGGGCTGAAGACTGGAGTGCAAACAAAGGAGTTAAGGTCTGAGCACAGTGCGTGGGCTCAAGAGAGCGCAGTGTATGGACTCAAGAGAGCACAGTATGTGGGCTCGAAAAACACTGTGTGGGCTTAAGAGAGCACAGTGTGTGGGCTCAATAGAGCTCAGAGTGTGAGTTCCAAGGAGAACAGAGTGTGGGCTCAAGAAAGCACAGTGTGTGGGCTCAAGAGAGCACAGTGTAAGGGATCAAGAGAGCACAGAGTGTGAGCTCAAGAAAGCAGAGTGAACTCATGATAGCACAGAGTATGAGCTCTATAGAGGACCGAGTATCGATTCAAAAGAGCATTGTATGTGAGCTCAAGAAATCTCAGAGGGTGGGATCAAAAGAGCACAGTATGTGGGCTCAAGGGATCGCAGTGTAGGCTCAAGAGAGCACAGAGTGCGGGCTCAAGAGAGAGAACAGTACGTGGGATCAAAAGACCCAATCAAAGACAAGCAACAACTTCTAAGGACTTCGCTGGTCTTTTAGTCAATGAAATCTCAACTAATTCCTCCGGAGCGGCGTGCCAGAAATTGTCTGATTCTTTCTATGTCAAAAGTTAGCGTTGACAAGCTTCTTTCCTCAGAACAACTTTGGCTAATGGAAATCTCTGAGTTTCTTATGGAAAGAAAACAAATCGATCAGCCATTGACTAGCAGTTTATACTCCGAGCTGGTTCAAGCATCATTGTCAGAGATGCCTCACACTACAGCTTAGTTCCAGCTCTAGGCTTTATAAATGAAAGTGATTAGAAAACTGTTTCAGTTACCAAATGTTATTTTATTGTAAAATTTCATTGAATAACTCGATACTTTTTTTATATTAATGTGAATATTTACATTTCACTGGAGTCACAGTGGTTGATCAATATATTATACTTCACCTTTAGAGAGAACTGAACCACTAGTCATTGATTCAGGTCTCTGAAAACTCTTCGCCCCTGTGACCAAAACAAAACAAGAAAAACAGGGATGAGATAAAATAAAAAAGGGAAATATGAGAAGAGAAAGATGCCTCATTGCAAAACGAGAATAAGGAAAAGGCAAGAGAAGAAGCATGGATAAAATGATGGTTTAGAGTGGCGTATCTCACCACCACACACACCACACCAGCGTGGATGCTTCAGGATATTTCCTGGAGGTTATTACAATAAACCTTCCAAGGAGGCGGACAGCCCTCCGAGTTATTACTATAAACTATCCTGGGGAGCCTCACACAGTCTTGCCCGACCCTTCCTGGCTACCTGTAGTCCTTGTTATGGTTAAACGTGCGTGTGTATTCACCTAGTTGTACTCACCAAGTTGTGCTTGCGGGGGTTGAGCTCTGGCTCTTTGGTCCCGCCTCTCAACCGTCACTCAACAGGTGTTCAGGTTCCTGAGCCTATTGGGCTCTATCATATCTACACTAGAAACTGTGTATGGAGTCAGCCTCCATCACATTACTTCCTAATGCATTCCATTTGTCAATCACTCAGACACTAGAAAAGTTCTTTCTAATATCTCTGTGGCTCATTTGGGCACTCAGTTTCCACCTGTGTCCTCTAGTGCGTGTGCCCCTTGTGTTAAATAGCCTGTCTTTATCAACCCTATCGATTTACTTGAGAATCTTGAATGTGTTGATCATGTCCTCCCTAACTTTTCTGTCTTCCAACGAAGTTAGGTTTAATTCCCGTAGTCTCTCCTCGTAGCTCATACCTCTCTGCTCGGGTACTAGTCTGGTGGCAAACCTTTCAATTTTTTTCCAGTTTAGTCTTATGCTTGACTAGATATGGACTCCATGCTGGAGCCGCATACTCCAGGATTGGTCTGACATATGTGGTATATAATGTTCTGAAAGATTCTTTACACAAATTTCTAGGCCGTTCTTATGTTAGCCAACCTGGCATATGCTGCTGATGTTATCCTCTTGATATGAGCTTCAGGGGACAAGTCTGGCGTGATATCAACCCCCAGGTCTTTCTCTCTCTCTGACTCTTGAAGTATTTCATCTCCCAAATGATACCTTGTATCTGGTCTCCTGCTTCCTACCCCTATCTTCATTACATTATATTTGCTTTGGTTAAACTCTAACAGCCATTTGTTCTTCCATTCCTGTAGCTTGTCACTGTGTTATAATAACAACTAGGAGAGTACACACACACACAAAACACACACACACATTGATGCAAGGTGCAAGGTTTCAGGAGGTCTTTACAATAAAACAGGGAGAAGTCACGGCGCTAGGAGAGGTGGCAGCAAACCAGGTGACCTTGGATAGGTTCGAAATTACAAGAGAAGAGGTCAAGAAGCACCTATTGGAGCTGGATGTGAGAAAAGCTGTTGGGCTGGACGGAATCTCACCATGGGTATTGAAATAGTGTACAGGAACACTTTGCTTGCCACTCTCCACAGTGTATAGTTGGTCACTGGAAACGGGAGACCTACCAGAAATATGGAAGACTGCTAATGTAGTACCAATATACAAAAAGGGTGACAGACAAGAGGCACTGAACTACAGGCCAGTGTCCTTAACTTGTATACCATGCAAGGTGATGGAGAAGATTGTGAGGAAAAACCCTAGTAACACATCTGGAGAGAAGTGACTTCGTGACAACCCATCAACATGGGTTCAGGGAGGGTAAATCTTGCCTTAAAGACTTGATAGAATTCCACGATCAGGTGACAAAGATTAAGCAAGAAAGAGAAGGATGGGCGGACTGCATTTTTTAGAAAGTCGGAAAGCCTTTGACACAGTACGCCATGAAAGGTTGATGCATAAGCTGGAGAAACAGGCAAGAGTAACTGGTAGGGCGCTCCAGTGGATAAGGGAATACCTAAGTAATAGAAAGCAGAGAGTTACAGTGAGGGGTGAGACCTCAGAATGGCGTGACGTAACCAGTGTAGTCCCACAAGGCTCTGTACTTGGACCTATCCTATTTCTGATATACGTAAATGATCTCCCAGAGGGTATAGACTCATTCCTCTCTATGTTTGCTGACGACGCCAAAATTATGAGAAGGATTAAGACAGAGGAGGACAGCTTGAGGCTTCAAGAAAACCTGGACAAGCTGCAGGAATGGTCGAACAAATGGCTGTTAGAGTTTAACCCAAGCAAATGTAATGTAATGAAGATAGGGGTAGGAAGCAGGAGACCAGATACAAGGTAACATTTGTGAGATGAAATACTTCAAGAGTCAGAGAGAGAAAGACCTGGGGTTGATATCACGCCAGACCTGTCCCCTGACATGTCATATCAAGAGGATAACATCAGCAGCATATGCCAGGTTGGCTAACATAAGAACGGCCTTTAGAAACTTGTGTAAGGAATCTTTCAGAACATTATATACCACATATGTCAGACCAATCCTGGAGTATGCGGCTCCAGCATGGAGTCCATATCTAGTCAAGCATAAGACTAAACTGGAGAAAGTTCAAAGATTTGCCACCAGACTAGTACCCGAGCATGAGAGGTATGAGCTACGAGGAGAGACTACGGGAATTAAACCTCACTTCGTTGGAAGACAGAAGAGTTAGGGGGGACATGATCACCACATTGAAGATTCTCAAGTAAATCGATAGGGTAGATAAAGACAGGCTATTTAACACAAGGGGCACACGCACTAGAGGACACAGGTGGAAACTGAGTGCCCAAATGAGCCACAGAGATATTAGAAAGAACTTTTTAGTGTCTGAGTGGTTGACAAATGGAATGCATTAGGAAGTGATGTGGTGGAGGCTGACTCCATACACAGTTTTCTAGTGTAGATATGATAGAGCCCAATAGGCTCAGGAACCTGTACACCTGTTGATTGACGGTTGAGAGGCGGGACCAAAGAGCCAGAGCTCAACCCCCGCAAGCACAACTAGGTGAGTACAACTAGGTGAGTACACATACTCACACACACACACACACACACACACTACGAGGGGGCCTCATAAGGAGGCCTGTTAGGGGGTCTCGTAGCCTGGTGGATAGCGCGCAGGACTCGTAAATCTGTGGCGCGGGTTCGATTCCCGCACTAGGCAGAAACAAATGGGCAAAGTTTCTTTCACCCTGAATGCCCCTGTTACCTAGCAGTAAATAGGTACCTGGGAGTTAGTAAGCTGTCACGGGCTGCTTCCTGTGTGTGTATGTGTGTGTGGTGTGGAAAAAAAAAAAGTAGTTAGTAAACAGTTGAGAGGCGGGCCGAAAGAGCAAAGCTCAACCCCCGCAAGCACAACTAGGTGAGTACAACTAGGTGAATACATCTTGGTGAATACACACGCACGTTTAACCATAACAAGGACTATAGGTAGCCAGGAAGGGTCGGGCAAGACTGTGTGAGGCTCCCCCAGGATAGTTTATAGTAATAAACTCGGAGGGCTGTCCGCCTCCTTGGAAGGTATATTGTAAATAACCTGCAGGAAATATCCTGAAGCGTCCACGCTGGTGTGGTGTGTGTGGTGGTGAGATACGCCACTCTAAACCATCACACAGCCGCTGCTGACCTCT